GATTGCAAAATCTCTTGATAAACTCCCTGACCATCTCATTTCGTCTTTGCTTTTCAGAGAGGAGTTTGGCCATGGTTACATCCGACTGTTGCTCATGGAATTGTGAGGAACTTTAATTCCAAATCAGCCCAGGATTTGATTGAACCCTCAGGCAAATTTTAAAACCAATTGAAGGCTACCTCTTAAGGGTGCGAATGAAAAATAACACCTTAATGGCGTCATTACCAACTATATTCCTAATTTGTTGGTGGAAGTAGTAGATGTGCTTGTTCAGAGAACTTGCCATCAACATGTGCAACGTTGGTGGCTTAAACTTCATTAGATAGGGAACTATGTCCCGCTCAATGGGATAAGGTCAGATGATTCCATCATTCTTAAGCTCAGTTTATTGAGAAAGAGCGTTGAATCATTTTTTGATGTCCTCTAGAGCCGCCTTTGCTTCCTTGCTTGGCTTCGGAGGCGCTGATGTTTCCGATCCTTAATGGTCAGAATCTACGTCTTCTTGATGCGCTTGCTCTTCTTCTAGGGAGAATTCAGTGATTGGTTGTTTCCCCTTCGAAGAACTCACACGAGATTGAGAATTTGAGAGGAGATGCTTGAACATTTTCTTTAAACGCTCAAATCGCTCATCTAAAGCTTTCTTTTGAGCTGTCATCTGAGCGAGAAGATCTTCTCAGGTCCATCATGTTTGCCACCAATTGTTGCTCTTGACTTGAGCTAGGGGTTATGTTCGACGATGGCAGAGTTAGCATCATTCGAAGTAGGTTGGTCAACTTGAGGCGGAGTCCGCAACACTCGTGTTTGGATGAGGGAGTAGTCAAAAGAAATTGTTGCTCTTTGTGTTAATCTAGTGTGGCGATATACACCGACAGTCTCCAGCAATATGCCTCTAATCCCAAGATAATATCTCGGGTCGAATGGATTGTCTGTATCTTCCTCTTCATCTCCAAAACTACACTAGTCGTGTTAAACAATGAATTCTTGGAGTTTGCCATTTTGGGTACATCGTCGACTTTTGGTCCAAACTTCTGAAGGCTCGGGATTATGACTAAGACGATCGAAAACCAATTCCATTTTAGGAATAGCTTTGCATTAGCAATTCTTCTGAACTGTCATGACTACTTCTCTAAGGGTCGTACAATAGTAATATTGGCCAGCTCTCTTTAGGGCTAGGAACCATCTTAGATCACCAGTAATTCCAGAATGGCCATTTTGGATTTTGGCATGCGAGCGTCACTTGTGGTGACATTTGCCAAACTTCAGCTTAGCGAAGTCAGATGGATTACACTTATCAATGTTATTCCTTTCGGAAATTTGGACTATACGATTACCCTCATCCTTTGCTTCTGTCAAGGAAGCATAATGAGAATTGCAAGATGCTTTAAATCGAAACTCCAAGAGAGTTATGAACTAACATCCAAAATCAGAAGATGTGAGAATGTCTTGACCTTCGGCAAGGGTTGATGTCTCTTCTCTCTAGGAGAATTTCATTTGGCTTCTAGCGAAATTCAAACCATCTTTGGCAAAGGTCGCCTTTACACTCGCAGGGGTAGATTTGGAACCTAAGTTCGCACTGCAGCGAATTTTATGGCAACTTCTCACGGTTGCTACTAATGATTGGTTTGAGGAAATGAATTTCTCGAACTTCGCTTGGTTAAATTCTAGGACCAGTAACTCAGCAAAAGATCTGAGATTCTTAGTGTCAGCCTACGACACAATTTTCTCATCGGAGGAGAAAGTAGTCCTTAGCAGAGTCGTCATCCTATTTCAGGTCATTTGTATTGTAATTAACTCAGATTACAATAAAAGAGAAACAATAAAATTTATATTATCTGGAATTCTTGTCTATGCCGATGGAGCGTCAATCTTATACTTCGTTAACGATCCAACTAAGACCATGGGTCTCTTGTTGTTGGTCTTTCATTTGGTTGCTTGGAAGATGGCTCATTTTTCTCTTAGAATCGAAATAAGGGAACACCATGCATGTTCGATTTCTCTTCTCTGCGTATGTGTCTGGTGGTCAAAATGAACAATCTCTTCCTCCTTTTTATAAGCCAAAAGAGAAAGTTAATAGACTTTAATTATGGATTATGTGGCCATCAAGATACGAGATAGTGGAGGGGCAGTTATCCCCTTAAGAATAAATCTCAAACGGCTGATTTGCGAAGTTTACTGATTAATTGATTGGCAAACTTCGCTGAAGGTGTTTGGGAAAAGCTCACACAGATGTTTGGTTAGCCATCTTTTGAATCGTAGATGACGTGGCCCACATTGATTGCTGAGAGAATTGATTGGTTAGCGAACTTTGCTGGCGTGGTTAATTGGTTGGCGAACTTCGTTAGTGAGTTTGAATTTAGCTCATAATTTGGCCGACTTGATAACGCCTTTCAACTCGGCCTAAGGTCTGAATAGGAAATCAACCCACTTCTGACATGTCCGGTTGGGTTGAGATGAGCTGTGTGGCAAAGTTCACATGCTTTGTTAGGCAGACTTCACTACAACTTGTTATAGGCTCGAGTTAGGGTCTATTTGAAGCATTTAACCCATAGGCGTTTGCTTCTTGGATCAAACCTAAACATTAGCCTGGACGAAATATATTTTAACCATCTACAACATATATCTTTTTTTGAAAGAACCATCTACAACATATATACATACATACATATATGTATATACAAACACAAACATATATATACGCATATATATATGTATATATACATATATATGTATATATGTATATATGAATATGGATGTATATATGCATATCTCCGTGTGTGTGTCTGTGCTTGTATGTGTGTAGGGTGTGCATGTGTATGTGTATGAGAATCATGGGTATACTTGGTGCCAAAGCACCAAATTTGGTGCTTAGTAGTGAGGTGACCATTTCTCATCCACTTATTCAATTATCTAACCATAGAGAGAGAAATGAATATGCTTGGTACCAAGTACAAAAGTAATGCTTGATAATTATTTGAACACTTCTCATCCACACATTAAAATATATCAACTTAAAAATGGTCCCCACTTGCTTACTTGTTGAATGAGTGGATGAGAAGTAGTCACCTCACTACGAAGCACCAAATTTAGTATTTGGTACCAAGCATACCCATATTCCTCATATATGTGTATGTGCGCGCGTGCGTGTGTATATAATACGAGGTGGTAGCTCATTTTTATAAATGAGCTACCAAGTATGCACACACGCATGCACGGCATTGTCTGTAATAGTCACACACATACACATGCAAATGCACACACACATATATGGACGGAGTAATGACAGGGTTAGTGTGAGGGGAAGGAGGACTTGGTCACAATGAGGAAGGGGGATTGTCACAAAAGAAAAAAGAGAAAGAGTGAGAGGTTTTTTTTAATTAAATTAACTTATTAAAATATCTAGATAGATCTAAACCATCAACTAAGATCTGACGGTTCCAATTAACTTAACTCCTTATGTATCTGTATGTACTTTTAGGTAGGAAATAAATAGGAAGAAAACAAGTAACAAAAGTGCTGAAAACTCATGGAGAATGACAAATGTCATCATATGAAACGGAACCTGTAGTGCACAGAAGAACTATATTCAATGATGACTTGCTCATCAGAGAAGATGCAAATGAACGATTGAAATTCACAAATATAAAAAAAGGCTTAATATCAAAAAACCTCCCCTAACTTTGGATGATTATTAGAAAACCTCCCTTAACTTTGAAAATATAAAAACAAAACCTATAAGGGTTATTAGAAAACTCTCTTTAACTTTAAGGTTTTATCATAAAACCCCCAAAATAGTTCCCCATTATTCCAAATTTTTAGTGGACAAAAATATCCATAAGTAGGGATTTTTAGCGTGGAGAGTCTTTCAACAATAAATCAATTAATGTGCTAAATAATATTTTCAATTTTTTAATCACATGGAGGTAAAATCCCTTTTGGGTAGGTATCTTTGTCCACTAAAAACTTAGGATAATGGGGGGAAATGCCATAAGGGGGTTTTATGATAAATTGTAAAGTTTTTTTAATGAAGCCATCGGGAATCGAACCCAATACTGTGGGAGCTATATTGAAACCTCACAGCCATCCTGGTCACCCACAGTGCCCATGTAATCTTAAAGTTAAATAAGGGTTTTCTAATAACGCCTAAACTTAAGGAGGAGAGCGAGGGGGGTTATAATATTTTGAATTTTTTTTTTTTTTTTTTTTTTTTTTTTTCTGAAATTAAGCCTAAAAAACTAACTTTTTACACTAGAACAACTCATAGCTACTTAATAGCTTGGCTATTTTGGCGACAGAAGTTCGGAAGGTGCCACCGAAAGAAAACAGCGTGCATTAGAATCTCCTTAATAGCTTCGTTAAATGTCCATTCATCTAGACAACAGTTTCCATAACGACTTGAGGGAGAGTGAAGATCTCGATTAACTAGCAATATAACTGTAGGACAGCATGAAAATTCTCCTGACTTTAGGGAATACATAAGGCAACATGAAATTTGTCCTGAGTTTAGGGAATACATAAGGCAGCATGAAAATTCATCTAAGTTTAGGTAATAGCATTAGCACGGAATTATTAATTATGGAAGAACATGCCAGGTAAATGATACATGAAATATTTTCCAAAAAATAATGTCACACTAGCTTGAGCTTTATACTCACATCTACCTCAAGGCTCTATGACATGCGGTCCTGCAATTAATACATAATTGCACAGACCCAATTACATGAGTTAGATTTGAACTAAGAAGCTTGAGTTAGAAATTAAAGCATTGCATAATCCTCTTATTGACAATCTTGGACACCTTTGAAAATATTAAGTTCACCCAAACCAATATGTTATTATAACATCCAGAAAATTTTAAGCAGCCCTGAGAACTCCAAATATGCAGAGATACCAAAAATAAAGTGAAATTACAATGCTCAACAAAATTATCAGCGAATAATCAAATATTTGCATAAGAAATCAATTAAAATACCCAAGAATTAAATTTTAGTTAGAAAACCCACCATCAGAAGTCAAGATTCCCACTACCCAGCCAAATCCCTGCAGAAAACACAAATAAAATACAAAAGCAAGTTTTTGAATTTAGAAACCCAACATCTAAAGTATCACAAAGGAAAAGGAAAAGAATTCGACCTCAACAAATCCAAGAAAGAAAAGGAGAAACGAAGCGATTCAGAGAGAGAGAAGTTAATTATGGAATGTTTGCAATTCCCTTCGCAGAAGCCCAATACAAATCCATGAATGAAGTGGGTTTTAGTCAACGGAGAGTCTTTCAGTGGGGTTCGTAATTATTGTTTTGATAGTGGAATTCTCGGGTTCTTTTTGGACCGGGCCCACCTTCGCACTCAATCCGGCCCCTCATGCAAAAAAATAAAATATTACCGTACAAAGATTCTTTCCTTTATTTGTCCTTGGAGGTGACAAAAAGATTAGACTTGCTTGCTTGCTAAGGAATTGGGAACCATTGCTGTAGCCTAAGGGGGTGTTTGGTTACACACTTTTCTAGAAAACTTTTCTCAAAATATCTATTTTTGGCAATTTTGTAATTAAAAGATTTCTACAGATTTCTTTAAATTGTGTTTGGTTTAACAAAAAGTTTAAAGAAATATTTTCTACGAAAAATTAAAAACTACCAAATTTTGCAAAATGCAATTTCCTCTCAAATTGAGAGGAAATCAAAAGAAATCTGACACATTCCTTATTAAATCAACAAAACCCTTCCCGTAACCAATTCTCTCAGCCGTGTGATTTTCTCGAACTTCTTCTAGGGCGGAAATTCCCGATCTCGTTCCCGCCCCAAATCCAGTCGTTCCCGCCCCGAATCCAGCTGGGTTTCGGTCCTTCGCGCCAACTACTTAGGTCTCGTTCCTCCTCCTCCATCGCCCCTCGTTCCTCCTCCTCCATCGCCCCAGTTCTAGGGTTCTCTCTAATCTCAAGGCTCTCACGGTAATAATCTGTTATTTTTGCTTTTTTTGTGTTGATCTATTTGTAGTTGATCTTTTAACAAAAAATGACGCTAGGGTTTCTGTTCTTTTCAAATTCATAGTTAATTGATTTCTGTTCTTTTTATTTTCATAGTTATGGTTGAAAATTTTGTTGTTAAACGAATTCATAAGACCAATTTGTTAATTTTATGTTATTAGAAATGATTCATAAGATCAACAGTAAATCCACAGGTTGCCTGCATGATTCATAAGATCAAAACAGCCCCTTTTTTGATGTTTTGATAATAAGAGGAGACTGATTCTTTTTCACAGGTGCATACTTGTTATTTCTTGAGTTATTGTGCAATATGCTTATTTTTTTATCTCAATCTCAAAATTTCTGCCTCTATTTTACTGGTTGCATTTTTTAAATAACCAAAAGGTGTATTCTATTGGATCAGTTTTAACATAAATGAACTTTGATTTTTTGGCATCATTAGGTGCCTTTTCTCCATAGGGATCCTCACTATCATGCTTAATTATCTCACTATTGCTAGAACCTAGAATTGTGGAGAAACAGAACATTATGTTAATTTTTTATCTCACTATTGCTTATTTTTTAGTATGAAGAACAAGCTGAGACAATTGATATTATTTGAAGGTATATGTTATTTGAGCCAATGGTATGTCAATCAAGTAAACTAGAATTTTAATAAAGTTCAAAAGGTTGCATTTATACTTTATGTGTGTATTATACTTTGTGTCATTGATATAGTAAAATTTATGCCTATATTTTACAGGTTGCATTTATTAAATAACCAAAAGGTGTATTTTAGTCTATTTTTGGAATACTTGCTCCTGTATTGTGGAGAAACAGAACATTTACACCCATTCATGTATCTGTATGAACAAAATTTATGAAACAGAACATTTACACCCATTCATGTATCTGTATGAACAAGATTTATGAAACAGAACATTTACACCCATTCATGTATCTGTATGAACAAGATTTTTGGAATACTTGCTACTGTATTGTGGAGAAACAGAACATTTACTTGCTCCTATCATGTATCTGTATGCATTTAACACATTTCCTCCATAGTTTTGTAGTAGAAACAAAAATGAACAAGATTTTTCCGATAGACAAGATAAATGAAAAGTCATAAATGGACTGAGATGTGGTTCTATTTTAAGTGACGTGTAGCATAAATTTCACAGGTGCGTAATAATTTTGATGTCGGTCACCAACTAACTAGTCTCAATTTTTAGTATGAAGAACAAGCTGAGACAATTGATATTATTTGAAGATATATGTTATTTGAGCCAAGGGTATGTCAATCAAGTAAACTAGAATTTTAATAAAGTTCAAAAGGTTGCATTTATACTTTATGTGTGTATTATACTTTATGTCATTGATATAGTAAGCTTTCTGCCTATATTTTACAGGTTGCATTTATTAAATAACCAAAAGGTGTATTTTAGTCTATTTTTGGAATACTTGCTCCTGTATTGTGGAGAAACAGAACATTTACACCCATTCATGTATCTGTATGAACAAGATTTATGAAACAGAACATTTACACCCATTCATGTATCTGTTTGAACACGATTTTTGGAATACTTGCTCCTGTATTGTGGACAAACAGAACATTTACTTGCTCCTATCATGTATCTGTATGCATTTATTGTTACCAGTTAAGTCCAACCATACTTGGTATTCATTCCTTTTCAGTTACACTAAACGTAACTTGCTTTTCATTTAATATGTGATCTATGATAGATGACCTAGTTCTATAATTGCATACATTAAATAGTAGATCTGTCACTTAGCCCCGGCACCTCCTTTCTTCTTTGGACCCAGAAGGAAGAGAGAATCTAGAAGCAGATTTCATTTGGTTAAGCATGTTCTTGGCATTGTCCTTATTGTTTGTGTAACAAGTTCAGGTTTGATCAAAGTTAAGAACAAAGTTAGCTCATGTCAGAGTTCTCTAAAGCATTGGCTTGTCATTGACAATTTGGTATGAAGCTTGTAGGGTAAAGCTCTAGTATACGAATCTTACATTATTTCATGTGAGACTAATGCTATTTTGGTACAAAATTGTGTTTTCGTATTTGTTGCTTGTTTACTGTAGTCTTCATCGGTGATTGTCTTGCCTTGCCTCTTTGTTATTTGCTCATCTGATTCCTCTTGGTAATTTAAGGACTTTGACCCATTACGGGCACTAAGAAAGTTGCAAAGACACCTCCTAACTGTATATTAGCATATTTTATTCATTATGTAGTAGTCTTATTGTATTTTCATATCGGGTCTTCTTTAGTTCCATATTTCTCCAATCAGGTCATGAAATTCTTTTGCTAAACTCACCACTTTCATCATGAAGATTTAGTTACAATAAATCAAGGTCTGCCTGAAGTTTTATACAGTTGACTTGACAAATTTATCAAAGAAATATCATAATGGCAATAAACATCCTTCTTGAATGACATTGTTGCAGGGGAATACCATCTTTTTTAAAAATATTCGAGAACGATATATACTTCATCTAGGTTACTTTTGACTGTTTTCTGGTGATTCATGTACATACTTCAATGATGTATAAATGATTAGATTGCAGTATAATGAAATATTTAGAGCTGAAATGTAATATAAACGAGACCCTCAAATACTCCATTTGACTTGAATACTTCTTGAATGAAACATTTAGAGCTAAAAATTTTTTGTCGTTGTTTATTGTTGCATAAACATCTTAAACTAATTTTTCTTTGTAACGAATGTAGATGGATGGTGTAGATGAAGAACAAATAAAGAGGATGTGTTCTAATACGACTATATCTTCCGTGGTTACAATAATAGTTTGTTTATTGAGAATTTGTGCTAGGCGCAAATCCATCTGTTATGCTCCAAGAGAGGACAAGATGAGGAAAATTTATTGTAGAAATGCCCATTTCAAGCGCATCTTTGAAGGATATAGTGATAGTTGTAGGTCTTATATTAGAATGAGGCCTAAAGCTTTTTTCAAACTTGCGGATGTTATGCGAAATCATGGTTTTTTAAAGGACACAAAACACCTTCAAGTTGAAGAACAACTTGCTATGTTTCTTTGCATAGTGGGTCATAAAACCAAAAACAGAGTAATAAGGACCGAATTCATAAGATCGGGTGAAACGGTTAGTAGGTACTTTAATAAGATCCTACAAGCTATGAACGGTCTTCGTGATCGATACATGAAGCAAGCACCTAATGAGATTCTACCGGAGATTGTCAACAATCCAAACTATTTTCCTTACTTCAAGGTAAGAGAGAAATAAATTTTTGCGTACGTTAGTGATTTTCATAATTTAATGATATGAGATACTAATAATTTCAATCATTGTCGAGTTTTGATAGGATTGCATTGGTATGATAGATGGAACACATATTGATGCAATGTTACCCTCTAATCTAGTTGCACGGTTTAGAGGGCGTAAAGGTGTAACGCAAAATGTTTTAGCTGCATGCACTCCAAATAAACTTTTCACATATGTCCTAGCTGGGTGGGAAGGTGCGGCGAATGACTATAGGATTCTGCAAGACGCGTTGTCTAGACCACAACCTTACGGATTGAGAGTATATGATGGTATTCTTCCACCCCATTTAATAAATAGTAAATTAAATAATATGATCAAACTGATCACAAATTTTCCTTTTATAATGTAGGCAAATATTATCTTTGTGATGCTGGATACACTACCATGCCTGGCTTCATCTCTCCATACCGTGGCGTTCGTTATCACTTAAAGGAACAAATTGGTAGGACACCCAGAAATAGTAGGGAGTTATTCAATTTAAGACACTCTTCTTTACGGTCTAAAATTGAATCAACTTTTGGCACATTGAAGAATCGGTTCAAAATTCTTTCCGCGAAGCCTAATTACCCATTCCCCACACAAGTGGACATCGTCTTAGCATGTACTATATTACATAATTTTATTGCAATTGAAGATCCACAAGATGACATCTTGAATGAGAATGTACTAATTGATGAGGAGAATGATGACGTGACAAACGAAGATGATTCAAGCGTAGTTGACTTCACTCAATCTAGGACACAAAGAGAGGAGCGTGATGCAAGAAATGAATGGAAGGACCTTAGGGATCAAATTGCATGGGCAATGTGGGTTGATTATTGTGCAAAATATAAAGATGGCGACACCACAGAAATTGGCTTGTAGTTTTATTGTTTTCGCATATTTCATAATTGTGCTTGTATGAACAATGTAATTTCTCATATTTAATTATGTTTTTTTATTTCATAATTGCACTTGTACGGATAATGTTTTTTATTGTTTTCACATATTTCATAATTGTTCACATATTGCAGCTATGTACTTCTAAATTTATGGCTTGTTTTTATTATGACACATAGGTATGTCTAACAAAAAGGGAGGAAAAGAAAATTTGCCCAATTCACCACATGCACCACCAATTGATTCAGGCGGTATTAATGTCAATTTTGTTTCATATCCAAATCAACCGTTCAATCCGCCTCAAACAATGCCGTCTTCTTTCAATAACCTTTCACTATTTGAAGGGAACTACAGTGGAATCAGCCAACAACGTGTTTCATTCACTAACATGTTGAACAGTCCCCAAGGCTTATATAATCTAAACATTCTTGTGAGTAGCTAGTCTCAGATTTTGATATTCTAGAATTATTTCCAAAAGATTCCAATGGAACAGAGCAAGAAATCAAAGGCGAATTTAGATTACTAGAGATTATAGGATCTAAAGCTTTATCAGTCATTTTCGAAGAGAGATTTGGGGATGTATTCACCAAATCAAGTTCATCAGCCCAATAAATTCGTGAAGAACTACTAGCGCCATGGCTATGATTCAAGAAATTACCTCCCAGCTTCAGATCAGAATTCACTGAGAATTTCTTTGAATTGAGGATTTCCTCCATCGCATCTTCTTTTTCTGTCCTCTAGGACCTGTAGATCCCATGATCTCAAGCTCCAAATCTTCATCTTCATCAGCCGAGATCATATCAGAATGATCATCACAAGGAATCGATGCTTTTGATCCTAAGTTGATGGATTTCTTAGAGGGATTCCTCTTCTTCTTTGCCATCTAGATCCGGAAAATTCAAGTGAAAGCTAGGCGGGGGCGCAAGTTAGACAAGCGAAAATCGCTTTCTAACTGCACATATATGTTGGAGGAACTGAGATATATCACTTATGATTCAAGAAATGAGTTGTTTCCTACTTGTCTAGGCATAGAGATGTCATGTTTCTTACTTGTTTAGGTGTAGAGATGTCACGATATATCGGAGTAAGCTAGCTAGTTATGTTTATAACGATGATTGGTTTCATGATACTTAATTGGATTTGGAATATGATATGAGTTTATATATATCTCCCATGTATCACATGTATATTCAAGAATATGTCATCGCGAATGTATGTATCCTTCAACGCTTCTCAATTTCCCCTTATGAGAGTGTTTATCTGCAACAGTTGAGCGGGGAGCATAGCCACAGGTGGTTAAATTGTCTCAAGACCAAATTATCATTGTGTGGGAGTTGTGGATGTGCATATATAGAACTGGTCTATCTTAGCATCCTTGAAAAGTAATGCATATTTGCATCCGTTCCGGTTTGCAATATTTCAGGCTTAACTCAAAAAGAACCCAGGATATATGCTATATATTCTGTTTGATGATTTTAAAAACATAAACTTGTTGACATTTCTAACTCGGTTATTGAGGTGTGAGCTCTCCCTGTACATATTTCATGTTCCGATGTATTGTGGTCCAAGCATTTTTGTAGGTGCACCGATAAGGATGGAGCATCCTTCGGAGCTTATTTTGGGGTTGTCATATGCCTATTTTCAGAATTTTGGCTGTAAATACGAACTATGATGTCATATATAGTGTGGTTACAGACTTACATTATAGGTGTGCAGTCTGCTGCACTCATACAAATATATATTCTTAATTACTTATAGGAGATAGGATCATGTGATGGTTTTTCCTTGGAAGGGTTTTATCACTGTCATTTTTCTTCTTTTGGTTTAGCTAACATATAGTAGTTATATTCTGCATATGTTTTGCTAATTTTATAGGTTTTTGATGTTTATATTCTACTTATTAGAATTTTTTGAATTAATTTCAGGGGATGAAGGATGCGAGATTAATGTTTTGATGGGCTCACTAGAGTCAAAAACCAAGGACTTCGGCATATTTTTCTCTCTCTTTGGTTAAGATTCTCTATATATGAAATTGATTGTAATAGATTTTGTTGGTTAAGATTTTTTATATGAAATTGATTGTAATAGACTTTGTGACTAGAAATGGATTATACTTTATATTAGGAATATCATGACATTTACTTTTGATTTGTTTTGGTTCTTTCATTGACCTTTCTTTCTGCAAATATTATGTGTGAGAAATGTTGTTCTTTAATTAGCAGAATTGTGGTTGTGCTTCAGCTTGTTAATATTTACAAACTCGATGTTGATGGCCACTCAAGTTTTTGTGTTAGGAAATTGCCAATTTTTTTTAAATCCAAAAAGTATGAATTAAAATTATGTTGTGATAATTTTCTTTCTCTTTTCCTCAAAAAGACAACCAAACAAGAGAAAATGACTTTCTTATGAATTTTCTTCTAACTTTCCTTACAATATTCTTTCTAACCAAACAATAAAAAGAATATCATTTTCTTTTCTTTTTCTTTTCCTTTCTTTTTACTTTCTCTTTCCTTTTCTTTTCTCTCCCTTTCTCTCAAACCAAACATAGCCTAAGGCTATGTTTGGTTTGAGAGAAAGGGAGAGAAAAGAAAAAGAAAGAGAAAGTAAAAAGAAAGGAAAAGAAAACGAAAAGAAAATGATAATCCTTTTATTGTTTGGTTAGAAAGAATATTGTAAGGAAAGTTAGAAGAAAATTCATAAGAAAGTCATTTTCTCTTGTTTGGTTACCTTTCTAAGTAAAAGAGGAAGAAAATTATCACAATATAAATTAATTCATACTTTTTGGAATTAGATTTAGATTTTAAATAATTTATAAAAAATAATTAACAAGCAAAAGCACAACCACAATTGCACTAATTAAAGAACAATTCTCACACATGATATTAACATGTAGAAGCACAACCACAATTCCACTAATTAAAAAACAACATTTCTCACACATAATATTTGTAGAAAAAAGATCAATGAAAGAACCAAAACAAATCTAAAATAAATGTCATGATATTCCTAATATAAAGTATAATCCATTTCTAGTCACAAAGTCTATTATAATGAATTTAATATAGAAAATCTTAACCAACAAAGTCTATTACAATCAATTTCATATAGAAGATCTTAACAATCAATTTCATATAGATCTTAACCAACAAAGTCCACTACAATCAATTTCATATAGAAAATCTTAACCAGAGAGAGAGAGAGAGAGAGAGAGAGAGAGATATGCTGAAGTCCTTGGTTTTTGACTTTAGTGAGCCCATCAAAACATCAATCTCGCTCCCTTCATCCCTTAAAATTAATTCAAAAAAATTCAAATAAGTAGAATATAAACATAAAAACCCTATAAAATGAAATCTTAACATTCTTTTAGAAGCAAAAGGAAACTACCACTCGTCATATGATGGTTTTTTTCTTAAGACTAATCATTTCTGATGGAAGTGACTAATTATCGTAATGTTAAGTTTGTCCCAGAACCATGTGGCTTTGTGTTCTAATCTTGTGAAATTTACTGAATACTTACAAATAGAGAAATAACTTGAAGGCATGCTTATTGTAAATCTGTATATAAATCAGAACTAGAAAAAATTTCATACACACACAAAAAGAAAAGATGCATATATTGGTGATATAAGTAACTTTGTACATGGAACAGACTTCAATGATAAGAAATATAATATCATACTCGATAAACATTGAATTACAAACAATAAGGTGATGTACTTATTACTATCAAACAATGCAAGTTCAAACTCAAAGACAATCCTCCCATCATGAAAAGGAAAAACACCAGCGGGGCCTTCAACTTTTGAAAGCTCCTGGTGGAGGTCATTTACATGAGCTAGGATAAGTAACATTGAATGCATGTGGTCTAAACTAATAGGATAAGTAACATTGAAGTTACAGGAGCTAGCCAAAATATATCATTTTTGATATTAAGACATGCATAGATATTCCTTGTACTACAATGTGACATATGTATTGTGGGCTTTGGATGTGCATCATGCACTCAAATGTGTCGTGTGCATATACAATTTGTATGCTAAATAGGATATGTAAGTGACAGTGTACATTGACTTGTTCTCAACAGGCTAAAGAATTGATGAGAGGTACAAAAGTGTTCAACATACCCATGTTCAGGAAAAACAGTATTCTGCAACTTTGATGTGGATGAAGATACCTGCGTCAGACATATGAAATAAATATTCAAAAATTAAGTTAACTACACAATAACCCAAATTCAAATAAAACTACCAATGTGAAAATATCTGATGGGCATCGTTGACCAAGAGTATGCTCAGAAAGGTGTCAACATCGTAGAAAATCAAAAGACAAGAAATATCCATCGAGATAAATTATGAAGCCATCGTACCTGGTCTCGGATGATATATTGAATCGAATATTGTAAACAAAGGAAAATTGTAGATTAAAATCTGAAAATGCACATCTTTATGTCAAAATCTGAATTTTTTCCCTAATATAGAACTATTAAAATTGCTAGAGTCTAGAGGTAACTTTCTTTTAAATCTAAATAATCTGCACTGAAGTATATTTGGTCATAGTAGAATTTTTTGGAGATGCAGTTTGAGACTATGTAGTTCTTTAAAACCAATGAAATATAGTATTTGAAGAAAATTTTGGGACCAATCATAACTTTCAAAGGTTAGGAGATTAATGTGATTCGTTTCAAAATTTGAATACAAAAGCATTTCTCCTGCAATATTAATTGCAAGCGGAAATTAGCAGAATTATGTGAACAAGACAAGTTCAGGTCCAACCAAGCTTCAATTATCCCAAGTTTCCCATGGAGAACTCGAATTAAGAAACTAGAGCTCCCAACCAGCATGCTTGATGACATAAGATCAAAAGGTAGAAACTTGAGCATTCTTCAAAATTAATAATTCAAATAAGAAAAAAAGTTTGAATAATAATAGTGGATACGAAGTTAAAACAATGAACTATATGCAACTGATTGTCATGTATAAGAGATGCATAAGTTTCGCTTCAAAAGAAATAGTACTCATGTTAATTAATTGGCCTTTCTCTTACCTCTTTCTTTCTCAAAGAATTTGTGGAATCAAACTGGCGAATTATCTACTTCAGAAGTCCTCCCTTTAGTTCTAAAAGAAGTTTTCTTCCAGCTTCTAATTTCGAGATGTTTACAAGTATGGAAACAACATGTTCAAATGTATCCTCTACACAGGTACAAAACAATAAAAATAAGTAGCTAAGTATATGCCTGGCCAAAGCCATACAAACACTACATCTAGGTTCTAAAATTTGAAGAAAGGTGGTAAAAATTGCTCTATAGGATATAGAGTAAGGTGTTTCTGCAACAAATAGAAACAGAAACAGATCATCATCACAAAGAAAAAAGGTGACAGAAACTCAGTTAGTCCAGAGC